ATAGGTTTGTCAGTTCTGGGTATCTTTGGTTAATTTAATATTTGGTGTACTGACTGTTTGTGGCCAATGGGGGAGTAAACCTAAGGAGTCCCACACAAATGTGTGGTCTGAGCCGCTGATGAAGAGGACTTAATATGGACAGGTTTGGCAAGAACCTGATATAATCTTTCAATAATGCCAGCAAAGTCTCCGCTTTGCAGAATACATGTGACTTTTGGATAATCTGTACTTTCTCTGCCAGTGGGTGCAGCCCAATAGAACAATAAGTTATTAATCTCTGTGGGAAAACTGTGTTTTGCCTATCCCATGTTGCTCACTAGGAGATGCACAGACAGGTGAGAGCCAAATGTCATTCTTGCGCCACCTCAAATATGAAGGATACATCAATTGCATCCTCACTAACGAGAACAATCCCTCCATTCATTGCATCCCAAATTCATTAATAAAAAAAAAAAATAATAATAAAAAATATATAATAATAAAAAATAATAATAAAAAAATAAATAAATACAATTAAAAAATAATTAAAAATAAATAAATAAATAAATAAAAAAATTTAAAAAATAATAAAAATAATTAAAAATATATATTTAAAAAAAAAAAAATTTAAAAACGTTAAAAAAAAATTTAAAAAGGAAAAAAAATATATTTAAAAAAAAAGTTCATGCAAGTTTGCAGGAACACTATTACCAAGAACACATGCATGAGCTTTGCAGTCTTAGTATTGAGAAACACCTATGATAATTGATATTATGAGCATGTGAATGCAAGCAAGGCAGGTACAGCTTTCTTGTCACACTAGTCATATTCATTGCACTGCATATGTGCAATAACGTTATATGGAAGCAAAATAGACAGACAGACAGACAGACAGATACTTTATTGATGCTGAACAAAATAAGATGTAATAAAATCAAATTATATGAAGAGTGAATGGATATTATTGGATGTGACCCATACAAGCAAAATGGTTGTGAGCCACTCGCTGTCCATTAGGAAGCTATTGTTTTCCTATGTTTTTTCACACGTTGCAGGTAACACAGATGAAAGCAACTAAAAGTCTGCAATATTAATTTGTTTTTGCTGGGTACAAGAACCGCAGATGGATAGCGTGGATGAAATATTTCAGTGTATTCACAACTAAATACAGGTATACATCTCATGATTATTATTCATCATATATTATTTACAGGTTAGAGCTATTTATCGTTATCTTTTTTTTTGTCACGTAAAGTTAAGCGACTATGTTGCTCAGCGCTGAAATGATAACGTTACAGTGCTGTGCCAACTGTCATCGTTATTACAGCAATTCTAGTATAAACACACGTAAGTGAATGTGTTTTAAAGGTAAACTGCTGATAGATTTATTTTGTCCCTGGATGTGCGGTTTTCATTTAGCCGAAAGGACTGTCTCAGTTGTTTCTATTTGCGTTCTTCTCTTGATGCGTGTGATGCTGTCAGACACTTTGGTGTCCGATATTTACTATTGGTACCCAATCAATGTAGTCTCTGTCACACATGGTGGCCGGTACATTAGGGTTACAGGGTCAAACATGAGATATGCCCATTTTTGTGTTCTCATTAAAATAAACTTACAAAAGTGATTTTATATGTATAGAAAACACATTAAACAAAACTACAGTATCTACTCTACTGTTTCAAATAACTTTTTTGAAAATAAAATGTCAAAATATGGGTGAAACATTTTTTCAAACTGCTAAGTTACCACATTTTGATTTCACTATTACATCTTTAGACATAAACTATCGAGTAAAAGTATATATTAGTTTTCCTGGCATGTTTAAATCAGTGTTGTCAGTGTGTGTTAAAAGGACACTGTCTTGTTGTTTTTCTTTAGTAGGCTACTGAAATAACCTGGGGAATTTTGTCTCAAATTCACTCTTCATTAGATATCATTCAGTGTAACAAGATCAAGAAATGACATCAAAAGCTGATAGTTATGTGACAGTCTGTGACATCATTAAAATGACCCCTGAAGACCTCTGTGGTGTTGCAGCAAGGTGAGTTTCTCTGTTAAATACATGATAATTTCACCTTTTATTGGTGTGATAACTTAAGTTACAAACCTGCATGCCATTCAGTTAAATGCCAAAACACACTTCTATTGATAGATTTTCTGAAAAATGCATGTTGTGATTAACTGTACTTAACTTTAATGGTCAAGGTCATTGGTTGATATAAATGTCCAGTTGATGAAATATATGTTGAAATAAAAGTTTCATCGTTTGGTGTAATGTTTTTTTCATTCGGTGTAATGCAACTTCTCTGTTACACCACAGTGTCATCCATTACACTGCGTGAGTCAATATTACTGCAGGGTGCCTTTGGTGTCCTGTGCATAAATAATTCCTTTGCCATGTTAACTTAACATAAAAACGGCTATGAAAGGGCTTGTTATATTGGGCTAAGTTTTTATATATCAGATAGATCAAGGGCATTTACTGTAGGTTTGGTGTATGTTTTGTAAATACAGTGGAAACCGCTTATAATGATCACAGTTATAGCAATCAATCACATACATGGATCAAAAAGCTTGGGACAGAATCTTCCCTGTACAAATACTGTTTAAATAATTCACTTATAGTAATCAAGCAGTCTGCTTACAATGTTACTTTTGGGTCTTTTTAAATATGACAACATATGGAAATAATTGTGGTAATTTTATTTTATTTTTTAACTACTAAGTCTTGCAGTAATGTCTGGTTCTGTCTAGCTACCTGCTGCATGCATGGAAAACACTAAAGAAAAGAGATAGTCACTTTCTCTCAATGACAAATATAGACTCATCAAAGCTTATGATAAACCTGCAGGGTTTGTGTCCTTAATACCAAGAACGCAAAGACCGTACTTGTGGTCTCGGCAAGACCGGTCTTGCTAACTTGCCTTCCAAGAACTTGGGGAGCAAAGAATCATGGGATTGGTCTTGTTCGGCAAGTATGCTACCAATGAATCTTTGATATTTGGGGCAGAGCAAGACCAGCATCCAGGGATTTTTACTGTCCGCGTGTGCTTGTGTTCTTAGTATTGGAACTGGTCTTCAGCAATGGAAGATGACGTAAAATAGTCACACAAGAACACAAGTACAATCAAGTACTCCTACTGAGATTCACTCCCAAGCAGGTTTGCTGGGCAAACATGCCATTGTAGTAGCAATCTGCCATCACTCATACGCCACTGCCTGTTAAAGGTGAGGTGACGTGCTTCCCTGATTGGTTTATTGCATGTTATACCCAAGACACACCTCTGAATAATTAGGACAAGCCATGACAACTTGTTTGGGCCTTGCATTGGTGCAAAGTCTGCTTTTTCTGACAAAATAGCAAAATGGATTTGGACATGCCCATAAATGGTAAATTTCAAATTTAAAATTCAAATTGAGCTACTTCTTCATGGTGGAGGAGCTTGTATGTCTCCATGATCCTAGGAATTATGTTGTCAGGGGCGATTGTCCCTGGCAGGGTCTCCCAAGGCCAATTGGTCCTAGGTGAGCAGCCAGACTAAGTGCAGTTCAAACAGACTCCCATGATTTCAGGTCTGGTGAACTGTTGACTTTCAAGGATATAGCAGTGGAAGGACTATTTCAAGAATCTCCTAAATCCTAAATCTCTGAGCTGGAAGACTCAGAGAAGAACTTGCCCATCTCAGGGGTTGAGATCACAGAAGCAGTCAAACAACTATTCAGTGGCAGAGCTCTGAGGGTGGATGAGATTCACCCTGAGTTCTTAAAAGCCCTTCATGTGGTTGGGCTGTCTTGCCTAGCATGCCTCTTCAACATTACGTGGATGTCAGGGATGATGCCTTTGGATTGGCAGATTGGGGGGTGGACCCAAGGATGTGTTCCAGTTTTAGGGGGGTCACACTCCTTAGCCTCCCTGGGAAGGTCTATACTGGTGTACTGGAGAGGAGGGTCCAGGAGGAACAATGCAGATTCTCTCCTGGTCGCGGAACACTGGACCATCTCTTCACCCTTACAAGGATACTGGAGGGTTCTTGGGAGTTTGCCCAACCAGTCTACATGTGTTGCATCGTGGACTTGGAAAAGGCATATGACCGTGTCCCTTGGGCAGGGGCGCCGTAAGGGGGAGGAAAGCTAGGACGATTCCAAGGGCCCCTGAGTGACAGGGGCCCTAAAAAATTAGGAAAATAACTGGATTGGTTTGGACTGGGGGGCCTAATATGATATGCTTTCATGGGGCCCAAAATCTCTAGCAACGCCTCTGCCCTTGGGGGTCCTGTGGTGGGGTGCTCCAGGAGTATGGGGTCTGTTGTTGCAGGCCATCAGATCCCTGTACAAAAAACAAAGGAAGAGCTTGGTTCATATTGCCAACAGTAAGTCAGACTTGTTCCCAATGGGTGCTGGACTCTGACAGGGCTGCCTTTTGTCATTGATTCTGATAAGTTTTTACTTTTTATAGATGGGATGGTCCTGTTGCCGCTATCGGGCTATGACCTGCACCGGGGCAGTTTGCAGCTGAGGGCGAGGAGACCGGAATGAGGATCAGCACTTCCAAGTGCCATGGTTCTTGCCCGGAAGGTCTGGGCATCCCTGCTTAGACTGCTGCCTCCCTGACCAGACCCTGGATAAGTGTCAGAAGATGGATAGATGGATGGATGGGTGGATGGATGGGTGGCATATATTTGTCATAAAACAATAAGATTTCTCCACTTCAGCATTTGATATGTTGTCTTTGTTGTATTTTCAATTAAATAGGCCTATAGGTTTATATGGTTTACAAATCATTGCATTCTGTTTTTGTTTACATTTTACACAGTATCCCAACTTTTTTGGAAACGGGGCTGTACTTGGCGAATGAAAGGATTCGGATTAAACCAAGCAGTTAAAGAGTCCTAATATCATATGCCCCAAAATCACGGTTGCACATACAGCATATCGTTTAGCTTTGTCATTTAACACCTAAAGACAGGACACCACGTGGGGATGCCATTTATGTACTCCACCATACTAACAAGTTCCAACAGCTAACACAGTTCATGTGCCTCTGAGGAAAAGCATGGTGGCACCCGGCATAACCAACAGGCGAAAGAAACTCCTGTGTGAAAATGGCACTCCAGGGCCGCCGTTTCAATTAACTATAGTTAAACTAACGGGTTAATTAGCGACCCAGTTTACAAATGGACTTATCGAGAAGGTGATTTTTTTGCTACAGTGGCTGCAGTAAGTCAAATACACCAACAGAAAAAAAGAAAGTGAAAGAGGGCACAAGAAAGCGCCACAGAAAAGAATACTCCACCTCCTACTAGTTTTCGCTAAGCGATTATATCCTTTTCAATCGTTGTCGCCATTTACGTGGTATGTCCGGTGGCACAAAATAGATAGACAACTTTAAAGTAAACTTAATTTATTAAAACTGGGAAGCGACGAACTGACTCGCAAAACGCGTGACATGCACCTTATCCTACCCCATCAACCGCTATAATAAAACACTTTACACATTAAAGCAGGTCCAGCTACAGGTATATAGCTTGTAAACTGTCCTGCATTTCGGTTAGCCTACTTAAAGTTAGACGAAGCAATGTCGGGAAGACGGTTTGTTGTTCTTACATTGTGTGCAGCTTTACTTTTTGTCGCCGTTGGTGAGTTTTTTATTAAAATTTTTATTTTATATGACGATTGTGTGTGTTTTAAATAATTTATTAGAACTATTCATTTTTTTCGTATTAAGGAAAGTAATTGTGATGCGCATATGCTATTATTTTTGTTCGCTTGTTAACTATACTATGAAACTTAAAGGGTATCGATCGATGTCCAGTGTTCCCATTATAAATTATGATTAGAACACAGAATGTTAACTAGGCAGGATTTAATTGTGGGTTTATAATAAGCATAATTTCATATAAAAAGCGTTTTATATTTGATTTTACCATCTTTTATTTGTTTTTTCTCAAATAATGATTTTCTCATAAAAATTTCAGCGGATAACTGCGAGTCTTACACAGACGTTTTTAATGTACGACACTCTTTCCGGCGTTGTTTGGAATCTGAGTTCTGCTGTGGTCAGTGTTCAAACCGATACTGCTGCTCCATAAAAGCATTTAAACTGGATGACGATGCACAAGAAAAATGTCCACTAAGGTATGTAGATAAACTAATGAAGGAAATCAAATGTCATTATAATGAATATCGATTAATAACTGCAGTTGATATTCGTTGTAGTTCCTCATATTTGGATGCCTTTTCAGTGTTGTAGTAGGCTACTTGGATCAAGCGTAGTAACGATAAAATTAATAAAAATAAAATTCATTATTATTTACCTTCATTGTATTAGCTGCATACTGATTTATTTAATTTTATTCATTTTTTAAAAGAAGGAGGTCAACACTACACCGGTTTTGTGTTGTTTATATGAGTTTTTGATTGGTTTGCTTTATAATTACGTTATCAGCTTTACATTTAGGGCCTATCAGGTTCCATGCACTTGCAAAAAAAAAAAAATAGGCATACTCAAACATGCCACAAATTATTTCCCTTTCTGTTTTTCATGGTTTAAACATTACCGAGCTTATAAAATTGAAGTGGGAACAAGACGGTTCTCTTCTGAATTGAGTTACCCAGTCCCATATATCACGGGATCGTCCCGTATTGAAAAAATAAAACTGTACTGTGTTCCGTTCTGAAGAAACATCCGAACGCGCGATCGGTTACGTTGTATCCACCCCGGCCACTCCCGGGAAATTCTATAGCCCCCTCCTCTTTATTTAACTTAGTGTAACTTAGTGTTACAAAGAAATTGTAAAAACAATAATTCTTTAAAACTATTGGCTATATAAAACTTTATGAATCTATGTGTGTGATGACTGCATGCGGGCAAACAGGCGAGAAAGCCGAAAATGCGGGTAAACGGGGTTTATTTAGGACTGACAGGACAACTGGGGAGCACACGGCAAACCACGTCAATGACAGACCTGGGGAAACAGACTTAAACGCGGACTGAAATACACAAGACAAGCCGAAATAACAGGAAACAGGTGATTATTATATTATATTATACCACATAGACAAGGGCGTAACTTTGGCTGGAACATTGGGGGGGTCGAGGTCTCCACCCATTACAGGGGAAACATGATTATTGGGGGGGTCATATTGGCTGGATCTGATTATTGGGACGGTCATGACCCCCCTAACCCCCCTGGAAATTAAGCCCATGCACATAGAGAAAACAGAAATGTGAATGGAATAGATTCAAAATCCCTGCATGTAAAATACTTTGAGCCAAAAAACCCTTAACATCATGTACAATCGTGTTAATTCACTGTAATTGCTGCTATTCCGAGTCAGAAGCTTTTTAACAAGTGGTTTTCATGGCTTTCCTCTGAGTCACTTCCTCTGTGTAATTAGAGAGTTTATATATTTATGCATATATTGCTTTTTAAACATTTCCTGAATATATGTTTTCTTTACCTCAATTATACTGTCTGTCTGTAGAAAATACTAAGAAGCCGTGCATTGAAAAGAGTGTGCATGGTAATTGCCAACAAACTTATATTCGGAGGAGGCATGCAGAAGCTTTACATTACAGTATGTTTATTTGGCAGGAGCTATTATCCCAAGCAACGCACAATTGAGAAAGCAGGGGCAGCTAGTCCGTGGAGCAACAGGGGTTTAAGGACCTTGCTCAAGGACCCAGTGGTGAAATCTTTCTGCTGACTGTGGGATTTCCTTCCGATCACAGATACAGTGGCCTGATTGGTTTATTAAGGCCATTTTCACAAGAGCACTCAAGCTTTGGAGATTCAGACTGATTTTTTTTACAAAAAGATTTAACATATGGAGGTGGAACAGCAAAGCATCTACATTCTCCTTTCAATCTCATTTAAACCGATTTTAACTAACTTTAAACTGATTTTAACTAAGTTTTACTAAGAACTAAGAGGAGCAGAAAATACTTGGGTTGGCAGTTTGAGTTGCATGCGTGCTGCTGTGTGGAAGTTAGCGTGTCCTGCCATGGGCTGCAGTTATCCTTTGAGGAGTCTGGTTTCCTCCCATAGACTAAACATGTAGTTAGGCTAATCAGTGTCTCCAAATTGCCTACAGTGTGTGTGTCGGATAGAAGTGCATTGTGGGGACCAAATGTCCCCACAATGTGATCAAAACCCTCTTATTCTGACATTGTGGGGGGCATTTTTTTCTGTTCTCACAAGGGGAAATTCAGTTTTATAAATATCTGTGACTGCAATCAAAAAACTATAAATGCCAAAAATCTTTTGTTTGGTTACTCATGGTTAAGGTTAGCGCTGGGTAGGGGTTAAGGTTGTCATTGCTGGGATTAGGGTTATGCCCATAGAAATGAATGGAGAGTCCCCACAAAGATATGAATACAAACATGTGTGTGTGTGTTTGAGCGGGCATACCTATCCTTATGGGGACACAATGTCCCCATAACGTGATAAGTATCCATTTTATTTCCCATATGGAGACCAGTTTCCTGGTCCCCATAAGGAAAAACTCTATTTTATAAAAATCGGTGACTGCTATGGAAAGAATAAAAATGCAAAAACTTTTGTATTTTGCTTGGTTACTTATGGTTATGGTTAGGGCTGGGTAGGGGTTAAGGTTGTCATAGTTAGCATTAGCATTTTTCCCATGGAAGTGAATGAGCAGTCCCCATAAGGATAGGTATATCTGACGTGTGTGTGTGTTTGGACCTCTGCTTTGTGCCTTGAGCTGCCTGAGTAAGGCTTCAGGCTCCCCTGTGACTCTGGCCAGGATAAGTAGTTTAGAGATGGATGGATGTATGATCAATATATTATGCAGGGGAGGAGCTTTGAGAAATCACTTTAGGAGGGGGAGGCAAGAACTTACTCAGGCTGCGTTCATGATCGGGATGTGCTGACCAACTCGGGGGACCAGGAAAAGGCATATAACTACGTGGTGCTTCAGAAATACAGGTCCGGGGGCAGTCACCACATGCTGTTCCATCCCTGTACGGATGTAGCAAAAACTGGGTTTGCATACTTGGCAGAAAATCAAAACCATTTGGAGCGGCTGTTAGGTTCCGGCCGAGATGTGTCTTCCCTCCGAACTTGTTTGTGACAAAGTTGTGGCAGGAAAAGCATCCGGCGTGGGGAGCTAGAAGCGACATCTCTGCTATATTTGCAGATGTTGTCATGTTTCTGGTTTCACGTGACCGGGACTTCCAGCAGGCGCTTGAACAATTCGACCAATAGAAAAATGTCAGGAGTACAAGCAAGTTTCTCTACAGGGTTGCTGGGCTCACTGTCCTAGGCAGGGTGAGGGCTTAAGAGATCCAGAGGGATTTCAGAATGGAGCTGCTGCTCCTTCAGATTGAGTGGAGTTACTAAGGTGGTTTGGGCATTAAGGATTCCACCTCATTGGCCCCCAAAGGAGCTGTTTGTGGCACGTCCCATTAGGCAGAGGACATGCTGGAGGGCCGGAGCATATATAAGGGCCGGGCCGCCAGGCCACAGGCCTCAACTGAAAGCTGATTGGCCCACAGAGTACCCCCTCCCCTGTCACTCATCAATTCAAAACATGTTATTGGCTAAAGATAAGGTTGGTCCTTCTTTATGAATTATGGCCCTTTGTAGGCCATAATTCATACAGGAGGGCTTATATCTTCCAGCCAGGATGGGGAAAATAGGCCTACCGCTGCTATGGTCCTCACAAGGAAATCTGGTGTGAAGATGAGATTGGATGAAAAAAATGTTGCTCGGCATATTTTAGTCCCTGCGATGCACTGGTGTCCTGTCCATGGTGTTCTCCTGCCATGTGAGGTGTGTCTAGGATAGTGTCCAGGCCCTGAAGTGGCCCTCTACCAGATAAGGGTTTGCGTGATAGACAGATTTATGGATGGATGAAATATTTCTTCTTTTTTTCATGCTTCCTGCATCCCCCCTCCAATTAACATTGAGAAACACAGAAGAGAGAAGAGAGCGACCTCTGGTATGATGATTGCTGAGATAATCCCCTGCGTGATGTTCTCCTTGTTCTTCACCCTGTGCTTCTGCATGATGTGTCCCCGATGCTGGCTCTACAAAAAGTGCAGAAGCCCCATGTGTGAGTACAGGCACTCCATAGCAGGACTCCTGTGACGGAGCTTCTTCTACACACCTTGCCTAGTTCATTCTTTGTTATTCCCTGGACTCCTGTAGTGTGTGATCATATGCAGCATGACCCGGAGCAGCCCAGCACTTTTTGGAGCTCTAAACAAGAATGATTATCCTGGTTGGGTTAGTATAGGATTTTTGTCACGTGTTTGGAGGAACATTGTGAAATTCTTGTGCCACAGTTACGGGGGATGGGACAGGTGCCTGGGGGAACAAGAGAACAAACGAAAGTGCAGTAAAAGACAAGATAATGCAAGACAAACCGCAATGCAATACAGGAACTGCAACAAATAATGTGCAATAGATATGCAATAAATAGGTGGTGCATCAGGTAAAACGTGCAGCTAGACACTGAGGTTGCCACTTTCAAACTAAAAAAATATGGCACACAAAAGGCTGACACAAAAACAGGTATGGGGCCCCCTGGTGGCCACTGAGCCCTAAGCAGGCAGACACCTGCAGGTATTGAATTAACTAATATTGCTAGGAAACAAGTTCAACAATAAGTTCAATACAATTTAACCACATACAACAGTTATATTGGTACAGCATATATCAATTCAACTATTAATTTCACATAATATTCACATATTTTTAACAAGCATATTTTAACTTGAAATATTTGTATGTCAATTTATGCTAGAAGCAGCAAATCTAATTATGAGTATGGTCATATATAGTCAATGAAAATTCACATAACGGGTTTTTAAAATATTTAAGATTATGTTGCTCACTAGTTAAAATGCACTGTATGTCAATTTAGGAAATAATACAAGGAAACTCTTTGCTCTTCGGATTTAAAGAATTATAGACGTTCAGTAATTTTTGGGACATAGTGATGTCACTTTTGGGAGAAATTATTCCATGTTACTTCGAAGTGTTTTGCACAATTCAGAATTAATGATGGATGAAGCGTGGGTTTACTTTGTTCTTGTCTTTACAGTCACAGGATATGTGACAGAGCTGCCACCAAGCCAGGCCCAACAGAGGGGCGCAGACCCAGGGTACCAGCAGGTGGCCAGGGTCCAGCTTATCCCCACAGCTTCATACCAGGCACAGCCCTACCCCCCAGCAGGACCACCACCTTCCTACCAGGAGATAATGAGGGGTACGCCTGGAATAAGGGCAGGGCCAAGGTCGCTGAGAACATCTGAGGAGGATGTCGTTCACTGTCAGCTCTCAGGCAGAATTAGTTTTAGAGAAGTAAGAAAATGAAACAGGAACAAACCACTGAGTTATGCCAGGAGTTATGGTATGGCTTTTATTTATAAATCTGTATATGTGGGAAAACAGTTCAAGTGCTTTCAAAGCATTGTTAGCTGTTATCTGACAAATTACTGCCGTGTTACTGTAGTCTAGCCAGCTTCCCCATTTTCTGATGGAGAGACGTTTCACTCTTTGTGCTCCTTCTCTGTCTGTTCCAGCGTACCCACCTCCCCAGGCACCCTATACCCAAGCCGGGTACAGCATGGGGCAGCTGGCGTACCCTCTCCAGCCTCCAGCCCCTACCAACTACCCTCCTGTGCCTCCCGTCCAGATGGACTACAGCGCCACACAACCTCCCTACAACCCCACACAACCTCCCTACAACCCAGCTTTCGTGGACCCTCCCCGGACGGGTCACTGAGGGGATCACTAGCACCCTCTTTCATGTCTGTCCCGGTTTTGACTTTGGATCTATTTCTGGCAGGATAACGAAGTGGCAGAGCACAACCAGGAATGTTCCAGGGAGGGGAAGTACGCTAGAGTAGGCTGCTCCTGCCACGAATTAGAAAATATTTGAAATAGCGTTGTAAAAACAGTCTACAAAAATAGTCTGCAAATAGGCTATGAGAGGACTTCCTCACCACAGGCCTACCTACATCCAAAAACATATCCACAGTAACCATGTTTCACTCTCCATTCCCTCTCTCCCTCCTGGCTATTTATTTAGCTACATGGGTGCATAGAGGAGTCGGGCCACAGGGGCATTGGCCCTTGATGATTGGCCCCTGGCATGCCCCTCCCCTGCCACTCACCGATTCAAAACATATTATTGGCTAATGATAAGGTTGGCCCCTCTGTATGAATTATGCCCTCTCTTATACCCCCCACTTTAAAAAATACTAAAGTCTCTCCTGATTAGCTGTCTAGCTCCTAGTTTCCGTCACAAGTCTGCATTTGTACACTCTGTTGAGGGCCAAAATCATTCTTAAAATAAAAGTTTGAGACATGATATTAGAGAACAGGCTATGAATCAGTTCTGTCTTTAAAGAGAGATGGCTCAGGTCCATTTGTTGACAACATTTGTTGTTTGCCTGTCAGTTATTGTCAGTGAAAATGTCTGTCTATAATGTTTGCATTTCTTGTGCTGCTGCATTGTGGCTTTAAAGAAAACTTGCCGGTAAGGATCATGAGCATCTGGAGGGAATTAATTTATGACAGTGGTGGTTCTGGGCAATGTAACGCTTACATTTGCATGACTGTACACATTTGGACATGTTAAGTGTGATGGATTGGAGATTATCTCCAAATCTCAAACACTGAAGGGACTGCTGCTTAAAAACATGTAGTAAATAAAAGTGAGAATGGATAAAATTTAAAGTTCAATTAGACTGCTGGATGCAGCATTGGTAACCTCACTGAAAGCTGAAAAACCTCATGCATCACGGTATACGGGTGACGTACTGGAGTGTGTTTCTGTGCAGCCAATCACACCTTCATACACCTAATAAGAGAAGGTGTCAGCAAGTTAATATGTCATGTGGTCTTAAACTTCTTTTACTTTTAATGTGTTGTGTCTGGAAATGCATGTTTCATTTGCAATATCTATGGCATCAATTCCAGAGGGTGAATCACAGAGCAGAATGAAGCCACTCCACCAGTCTTGTCATTAAGCACATTATAAATAAACATAAAATATGCTGAGTTTCCCTGTCAGTATCAATAAACAACTGGATACAGTTAACTATATACATAAAGTTATTTTATTTAGATTGCAGTAGATACATGCAGCTTGAGTTGCAAGTAATGTGTTGTGTATTGTAATTATAAACTGGTTCACAGCTAAACTCAGACGGCTACGTAGGAAAAGGATTTCGGAAGCGGGGACTGGGATGGGTACAAAGAAGCAAAACACAGGCTCAGCAAGGCGCTGAAGGCAGCCAAACGCCTGTATCAGAGATTGGAGCAGCAATTCTCAACCAACAACTCAGCTTCCGTTTGGAAAGGACTCCACAAATCACCAACTACTAACCCAAAACCACACAGGCCATCAACAACCTCAGCCTTGCCACCGCTGCTAAGACAAGAAATCACTGTGCATTTTACCTTTTATACCTTAAAAAGTACACGGTAATATCTTTTCGTAATATACACGCGTATCTCTTTACATGGCGAATGTGTACCAGTTATGTGCACCCTGATTGTATGTATAGTATACTGTATAATAAAATTGTATCATCTTTAAGTCATATTGTTTGGTGTTTTTTTAACCTTTTTATCACCATTTCCCTAGTTCATTGCCGCCGGCAGTTGCGACGGAAACTGTCATACACTCTGGGCAGCACTCATCCTGCCAGACGCGCAGGCCACATACTTGCGGTCGTTCAGTCTCAAGTCTACGACCAGCTATACATGCAGTTGTATGTGTATGTGTATAAAGTGAATTATAATTCTAATGTAAAATCCTAGAAAGCACAAGGTAGGGTAAACCTATGATGGGATGCTAGTCAATCACATGGCAGATACACACTATGGCCAATTCAAAAACACCATTTCACCTAAAAGCATATCTTCTGAGAATGAGATAATGCTTTAAAAACTACAATCACTTCAAACTTACCTTTTGTACGTACACAGGAGTATATATACAGGTACATGCACACACTACACTCTTTTGTATGACAGTCTTTTATAAGTACGTGAAAATCACTGTGTACTATGCACCTTATTTTACTATTTACTTGTACTATTTTGCTACTTTATTCTACTTAAATGTTTTTCCCTTTTAAGTGTTTTTTTAGGGTGCAAACTTTAAGGGGGGTTCTGTGTCCATCCATTTTCTGTTACTACTTATAGTCTTATATGTCTTTTTCAGGGTCACAGGGGGGTTCAGATACCAGAGGCTACAGGCGCAAGGCAGGGAACAACCCAGGATGGGGCGCTAACCCACCGCAGGGCACATTCATACACACACACACACACACACACACACATCATTCACTCACCCCAGCACACCTATGGACAATTGGCCAACTCCAATCATCCTCAGTATGTTTTTGGAATGTCGGGAGGAAACCCCATGATGACATGGGGTGAACATACAAACTCCACACGTATGGAATCCGGGCGGAGAGCCGAACCCAGACCCAATAGATGTGAGGCAACAGTGCTAGCCACCGCACCACCATACCGCCCCCTGGCCCTGAGTCAGAAATTTCATTACAGGTAATGATGTTCCATTGTTATCCGTATATGACAATAAATTTGAACTTGAACCTACAACCCTGGAGATGTCCACCATGCCACCTTGGGAAGTGACCAAGCTAGTTAATTCGAAATACAGTCTTTGCTAGCTGGGTTAAAGACTTACACCAGGATTACTCAGCCCTGCTACTGGAGATCTACCACCCTGCAAAGTTTACGTGCAGCCCTAATCTAACACACCTAGTACACATGGATTTTTAAAATGTTTATTGATTGTTTATATATATGATTTATTGTTTGTGGCAGTTGCTTGGGGCATGGTCCAAGTCAATGCCAGGTTGTTTGCCTTGGATCAACTGTGAAGAGGGGTACAGAAATTGCATTAATTGGACATTCTCGGCAATAGTAAAATGCACTTTAAATAAGTATAGTGAAACCCTGTTTAAAACAAGCAAACATATGGATATTGTTTGTAATGGAGATGCTATTGTGTGGGGAACATGACTCACCTCTGCCTGTTCTCTTTCTCCCAGGGTGTTCTGGCAAAAGAGCTCCCTGGGGTTTTTATCACTTTTTATTAGTTCCGGGAGGGAGATACCATGTGGGAAGTGGATAGAGGGGAATTTTAATTTCTGGTTTACGTGTAAATATTTATGTAAATTATTTATGGGTGTATGTATAATGGATCGACTCCAGTTGACTACATGCCAGTTAGCTTTAGGAGGGAACAGTTGCATACAGGGTTTGAAAAAGGGCTGAATTTTGGTGAACACAGTGCACAAAAATAAAGGAAAACGGGGTCTCCTGATTGGTTGTTTCATTGCTCGCCTTGGATGCTCAGACCAGCTAACAGAGCCACACCTGTTGCTTGTTTAAACTTACCGCTCGTTACAGCCCTCATGTGGGTCACCCCAGGTGTCTTTCACCTGCTCCCTCACCTGCCCTGTATAAAGTGTCCTTCAGTCCTGTGATCCCCAGTCCAGTCATGATGTTGCTGCCTGTGTGTGCACCTCAGTGTGCCTTGTGTCTAGTCCCCTTGTCTGATCCTCTGTACCCCATTTTAACCCCTCGTGGTCTGTTTCCTCTGCTCTGCCTGTAGTGTGGTTTTCTTTAATAAAGTCCCTTTTGCTGTGCCCCCACGCCTGCCTTCACCTCCATCCTTCTCCTCGGCGTGAGGTTCGGCCTGTGCTATCCCACCCAATATACTTTAATGTGTTGTCTCTTGCTCTCATAATAAACATGATGTAATGACCTCAACCCTTGAACTGAAATGTAATACTAGATGCAAAGATGACCTGATCTTCACCAAGGGGGGGGGAGGCAGAGTCAGAAAGATCAGACAACAAATCCAGCAGCCAGCAGTCTCTGAGGTAACCAGCAGGCCAATGGGGAAAAGACTGATGATTCATGAGAAACTTGCCATAGATTTCTATACTAAAAGAAGAGTGTGAAGTCGAAATGAAAATTGTTTATCTCGAGTTGTCTATGAAAGAGATGGAGAAAGACATGAAGAGGCTTCTGATCATCATTGAAATAGCCAAGCTAATCCATTTTCTTCAGTTGTGAAAGTGAGCCTTAAGGCAAACAGCCTTTAATCTGAAATTAAACCTGCCTCTGACCAGGTTTAAGACGTCATATAGACCTAGATGAGTTGTAATCTTACCTCTGGAGATGAGTGTATAAATCAAGACTAGTGCAAGTCTGAGACTATTTTAATCCATGTGTGAGAAATCCACTAAAATAAATACAGGTTTAAAATGAAATATAGTCTATGACTAGGCTTAATCCCTGAACAGGAAACCGGGCCTATGAGTCAGACAAAGACCATCATTCACTGACATTTATTCACAGCAAGGTGGTGGCGAACCTGAAGTCTATTCCATGAACAGCAGGATATCTGTACAGCCAGTCCCTCACAGGACACACGCTCGATGAAGCACCAATCCGCTTAAACCACAAATAAACAGATGAGGAGGGAAGCCTGTGTACCCAACTCAACATAACCACAGAGAAAGCTTACAGACTCCCATATATACAGGGCAGAACCATTAATAAAACTCATGAAGCAAAAAAAAAATGATGAACATTACAGGAACGTTATTTCTCCCAATTCCCCTCACCACAGCTAATCCCACCATTTTCTAACCGCTCATTCTGGTCAAGGTCGCTGGGGGTCCTGGAGTCTTTCCTAGCAACATAGAGCACAAGGCTGGGGTAAACCTTGAGTAAAACTAAAAACGCCCTAAAAATGTTTTGTTGAGGTTTTGAGGTATAAAACATGTTAGAGATGGCACAACAGTAGAAGCTTTCAAATTAAAATTAAAAATTTATTTTTCTGGGCATTTGACTGATTAGGTACTGTGACGCACTATTACTGAACTGAAATGCTGCTGCGTTACCATTTTTGTATTTTATACCTTTACCGTATTTTATGCATATCACGTAAAGCACTTTCAATTGCCTAATGCCACAAAATGTTCTATACATCTGTTCTCTGTTATATAAAGAACTGCATTCACATCACAGTTGACAAACGTATCCAGATACACCCGAGCTAGAAATGCTGGATGACAAAAGCAGTGAGAACTCTCCTCAAAGACCAGAGTACAGCTTTCAGGTCAGGCGAGAAAGAACTCTGCACTGCAGCACTGCGAGAGCCATCAAGGAAGCTAATCATGGTCTCATTTTTTACATCATAAAAACCTGGCATTTTAACAGGGGTTTGTACACTTTTTATATCACCAGTCACAAGACCAGCAATCACATGACTGTTGGAGCAGATGCAGCACAGGCAGAGGAACTAAACTGTTTCTGAGCTCGCTTTGGGACGGAAGCAGCAAAGGCAGACACAACATCCGCAACAGACACATCCTCAACTTACAAAAGCAGGATGTAAGGCGTTTACTCAGTGCAGTTAACCCAAGAATGACTGCCGGTCTTGATAGAGTGTCAGGTCAGGTGCTGAAAGAATGTGCAGAACAGTTCTAGGAGGTCTTCACAAAGATCTTCAACTTCATGCACTTCATACTGCACTGTCCCACCTTAAGAAGCAGGGGAACTATGTAAAGATGCTCTTTGTCATCCCGGACAGACTGTTCACCAAACTCTTAGACCTAGGACTCTCCAGGCCCAAATGCCACTGGATCAGGGACTTCCTGACTAACCACCGTCTGATGGTTAGATTAGGCCCCCACACCTCCTCCACACTTACACTCAACACCAGCACCCCACAGGGCTGCGTACTGAGTCCCCTTCTCTACCCGCTGTACACTCATGACTGCATTCCCTCCCACACCACCAACAACATCATTAAGTTTGCTGATGACACAATCGTGGTAGGATTCATCTCAAGGGGAGACGAGACAGCCTACAGGGATGATAGAGTTTCTTAATTTTTCCACAGCTGTGTGTGTGTATTAGGACATCCTTTATATTTCTACTATCCACTCAGACAACAAAATATTTAACATTTCTAAAACGTCTTCGACCTCGATTCTCTTCGCCTCGAACATACCCAGAATCTATCAGTTCGCCTGTTAACCAACGGAAACTGTAGCTAAATTACACGTAAACACAATAAGAAAAAAGTAAACACTGCACTTCAACCTGGTACCGGTGTTCTGTCGATATATGCTGCCTTGTCGAAAAATGCTACCGTAGTGCTAATCGATAGCCCTAACCCTAACCCTAACCCCCCAAAACCCTTACCTTAACCCTAACCCTTTCCAAAAATTGGCAATATGATGCGCAGTGAGCAACCTCGCCCTGAATGCTTCCAAAACAAAAGAATTGATAATGGACTTTCGGAAATACAGTACAGACTACAAGCCACTGCACATCAACGGGGACTGTGTGGAAAGGGTTCCTGCTTTCAGATTTCTCAGAGGATCTCTCCTAAACCACCAACACTACGGGGGCAATCAAAAAGGCATAACAGCGACTCTATTTCCTGAGGATCCTCAGGAAAAACAATCTACCAGAGAAGCCGCTGATGTCTTTCCCTCACTGCTCCATTGAGAGCTGGTGTACTGCATTACTACGTGGTACACTGGCAAAGAGCCCTTCAGAGGGGTATCAATACTGCCCAGAACATCATTGGATACACATTGTCCTCTATAGAGAACCTTTTCAGCCCCCGCTGTCTAAGTAAAGCAATAAACATATTAAAGGATGTCCCCCCCTCCTGGACATCATCTGTTGGAGTTGCTACCTCTGGCAGATGCTTCAGGTCTATCACTTCACAGACAAACAGACTACAGAACAGCTTTTACCTCAGAGCTACATGTGAACGGAACACTGTGAAACAATGACACTGACCTGTGGATCTGTAGCAACCTTAGCAACTTCAGTGCAATAGCTCAACTATCTATGGTAGGCCTACTTCATGTCCATATATGGTTTATTGTGTTATGTCTTGTGTGATGTCCTATGTCCAACAGTATTCATACATTAATTTTTGTCACTACAGTCACTTTAAAACAACACCGTAAATGTTTGCATCCAACCGCATTTAATCTGTATTAATTTCACTGGTGGTTGTATTTACTGCACCTTGCATTTCATCTGTTTATGGTATCCTATGTACACGTGTTATGGTGTTATTTTGTCATGTCGTGTGTCTACACTGTAGTTTAGTTATACCTCAGTTTACATTCGAATTACTTGTTATGTGTGCAAGCACCATTTGGGACTGCCGCAATAACTGTTGTACTCTGAATAGTGACAATAAAAACATCACATCACATTACATCTGGGGGGTATTTTCCGTGCGTCGCTTAAATCATCCGAGATCAGATGCCTCATCTGTACCTCCAATCTGATCTGATCTGATCTGATTTAATGTAATCTAATCTAATCTAATCTAACTGGCTTCCTATCTATATCGCAAAAACCACAAATCTCCCATGTTGGATCAATACCACGGTCCATGACCGATGCCAGTAAAGGAGGATCTGCTCGGTCCGTCTCCACTATATCCCAGATCGGCCAGCTTCACACAGCTATCTTGTTTTGCTGGGAGTCGACGAGCTGCCATGCTACATTCGGCGTGGCAACTCCCCAATGTGACGAAAAAGGAGTGTGTGAGTGACTGGGTGAGCTTTCTGTCAGCAGCTTGCGTGTCACTTAAACTCAGCGAAGCCGAAGCGCAGCTATGTCGGCAACAACTTTCTTTATTTTTACGCTCTCCGTTACTTTATTTTCCATAATCGTCGGTAAGTTTGTTTTTGTTTTAGTTGTACATTATATTATTGAGCTTTTCAATTGCTTGTTGTGCGTGTCGGGAGGGCGGAACATCTGCTAAATGTATGTAGTTCTCTTGGACGTTTAGTGCCGTTTTAAATAGCAATATTTTCATTTTATCCACTTTACTAAACTTATGTGACGTACTTGCTAAAACGAATGCCTGCGGCCTGTTGCTATTTTTTTTTTTCGTACTTGATATTTGCGTAGCCGCCCAGGCAGCTAGGTAGCACACGTATTTTCGATTTATTTATTTTTTAATAATGAGTTATAATGGTTATTCATATATTTATGTAAACTTGGTAGGCGTTTCGATACCGATATGTAAAATATGATTTTATTTGTGTATTATAGGTCAGTGGCCTGTACTACGAAGCGGGGTTACAGGCTTTTCGGAGTAACTTGTCGGATTTAAGGTACCGCAGTTTAAATGGACTTCATATTCGTTCACTTACATTTTGCACAGATTACCTTAAATCCGACAAGTTACCCCGATAAACCAGTAACCCCGCTTCATAGTACAGGCCCCAGATATAGTTGCAGGGTTTCATAGAAATGCCACCAATAGAAAAACATTCCGGTTGCCATGTGCCCTTTGACCCCAAGCTGGTATTGAGTTAATGGGGTCTTTGGTTTTGGAGCAATACGATGCTGTATCTTCAACATCCATAGAAACCAAAGGAAATAAGGGATTTCAGTTAATTTCACAAATTATTTACAGGTTTCACAAGTGTCAAAGTGCATGATATACATAGATTTACACATGCCGTTTGATTACAAGCTAAAAGACATTATTTTATAGTATTCCATTCGGGACTTTTATTTTATAACGTACGTCGCCGACCGTCAAAAGCGAAGCGAGCGTGTGAATTCTGAAGAGGGGCTGGAGTATTTTGCATTTTCACAATTTATTGGCGGTAGCAGTTGAATAACCAAGGTATTCGTGTAATTTCACAAACATACTCGATTCTGTGAATGTGGAGATTGCTAGATCTTGTTATGGTTTAATAGAGAAAATGGAGGGAAGATCTGTGAATGTCTGGCGATATCGAACCCACTGCTGACTACCTTGCTCCGGTGTTCTGTCATAAAATACTACCTATCGAGACGTGCTATCGAGCTTTTCTGCGCATGTGCAGTTCCACCGTCTTGGCATTAGGGTTAGGTTTTAGGGGTTAGGGTTAGGGTTAAGGTAAGGGTTTTGGGGGGTTAGGGTTAGGGCTATCGATTAGCACTACGGTAGCATTTTTCGACAAGGCAGCATATATCGACAGAACACCGGTACCAGGTTGAAGTGCAGTGTTTACTTTTTTCTTATTGTGTTTACGTGTAATTTAGCTACAGTTTCCGTTGGTTAACAGGCGAACTGATAGATTCTGGGTATGTTCGAGGCGAAGAGAATCGAGGTCGAAGACGTTTTAGAAATGTTAAATATTTTGTTGTCTGAGTGGATAGTAGAAATATAAAGGATGTCCTAATACACACACAGCTGTGGAAAAATTAAGAAACTCTATATTTTTAAACATCTGCATTTTAAAATCTTACTTTAATCGTCGTTCTGCTGGCAGAAGGCTACGCTGAGCAGCAGGTTGCTTCCAGGCTTTAAATTTCTTAGACTGCAGTACAGGAGATTAAGGCGAAGCAGGAGACACTGGGAACGACCAGAAACCAGCCATGTAAATGGCGGAAGTGACTTTCTAATGCCAGAGATGACTGTAAATTTATCCGACAGTTTCTCATGAATCAAGAGGATGGCATCAAGTTTGTATCAGGCTCAAGATAGGGGGACTAAAGTCCCATAAAGCAAGGAAGAAGCCCTTCATTAATGAGAAACAGAGAAGATCCAGGCTGCAGTTTGGACACACATACACACACACACACACACACACACACATATATCTATACACACGGCTGTATATAGGTGTGGATTGTTAAGTTGTTTCTCTTCATGTGCATTAGTTATGTTGCACAGGCAATTATGTCATGGTGAGGGACCAACATGTGAATCAGTGGGAATATTGGTGTAAACTTTTGTTGTTGTTGTTATTATTATTACATTGGGCAGTGTGTAACTCGGCAGGTTAGGGGTTCTGTGCCTGTGTATGGTCATGGGTTTGAAGTCTGTGGGAGGTTCAGTAATCATGTCTCCTGTAGGCCCTTGAGCAAGGCCCTTATCCCCAACTGCCCACACCTATATATGCATCTGTTGCAGCCAGAAGGGTATGTGAATCCCAAAGAATCACTGTGTACTTTTTGTACACTCTGCAAATTGAAACTAAATGTCCATTAAACTATGTGACAAACGCTGGCAGTGAATATTGCACAGAATCGTACTTCGTCTCCTTCTACTGCAGTCTGACATCCCATGTCTTCTGCAGACCTTTGGCTTTTTGCACTAATTTCTCACATTTTGCTGGGATGGTTTAGCATGGGTAGAATGTACTAGTGAAATTTTCCTGATGTTTGCTGGCAAGAGATCCCATCACATCACCCTCTTCCCTTTTTTTTTTAGCTGATTCCTGCCAGGCTTACACATCCATCTCTGGTGTCAAACATCCGTACCAGGTTTGCTATTATCCTCAGTTCTGCTGTGGCTCATGTTCATACAAATACTGCTGCAGAGACCGAGAACTTGAATTTGATGATGACAAACAAGATAAATGCCAGAGGTATGTGCACCATCGTCTATGTTGACATTTTCATTTGTAATTTGTTTGTATTGTTGCTATGGTACATGGCGTCTTGTTAAAATTGTCTTATTCTTGTTATTGCTACCTGAGCCGTGTGTGGATCAAATTAAAGTCTAATGTGTCTGCAGTTTGTCCAGATGTAATTATGAGGGGGAAAAAAGCACATGTCCTGTTTAGATGAAGGACGTAATCATCCTGTGATATCTTATGGTTCCCTCTAGAATCCCGTCTCACTGGCTTTTCAGCTGTTTCTTTAATAAATGCATATAGGAAGGTAGAAGTGTTTTTCTGTTACCTTAATTCAAGGCTATATAACAAGGGATGTTGTCTTCTCAGTTTTCCTGTTTATGTGTTTTCATATATGGGGACATGCTGTTGTTCCTAAGTTCCTCTTTGTCTGCTGTGTGTTTAAGACTGGAAGGAAATGGGCATATTCAAGTAGAATAATCTTATCTCCGTAACTAGAGATGCACTGATATCGATATTCGGATCGGTATCGGCGCCGACCCAGACCTATTTGACGGATCGGGTATCGGCCATTCGTGACCGATCCACATCCTATACTTACAGTACTTATTTAGTTTTTGGCAATCAATCGCACGACAGCTCTTTCCCATTTTACATGTTTTTTTTTGCGGCATTCAAATCGAACGCTAACGCTGCCCCTCAGTCTTTTTTGCTACTCAGTGGGTGTGAGTACAGTGACTTCCGCATGCTGTGACGTCATGCGCATACCCTTCGCAGTACGAGGAGCGTAAGATAAGACGTGACGATCTGGGAGTATTATACGCTTTTAACAGACACCAGTAGCACAGCGATTTGCAATCTATGTAAAATAAAGTTTTGAGGTGGGAATAGCGTTTAATCCCAATTTATCCCAATCCTATTTAACAAAGCGCACGCAACTGCGAGACAAAACAAAGCAATGGATGATTTGGGAGTCGCTAACTTGGACTGTTTTGTGAACTCGCTGCAGCTTGTGATACAAGAGGGGCTGCCATCGCAACAAAAGTGTAACTGAGCTGACGCCAATGTGAGAGAAACTGTTAGAATTTTAAGTATTCGCCACTTGTATGTTCATTAATGGAGTATTGATTGAAAGAGTTAATGAATTCCGTTTTTTGGGTGTAATAGTAGATGAAAAATTAACGTGGAAATCTCATATTGAGTATATTAGAAAAAAGATGGTCAAAAACATATTTTGGGAAATGTTAGAGATTTGTTAGACTACAAGGCAATGCGCATTTTATATTTTTCATTGTTTTTTTCTTATCTCAGTTATTGTGTGGAAGTTTGGGAGAATACATATGTGAATACTATAAAACCTCTATACTTATTACAGAAGAAAGTGATACGAATGATTCATAATGTTTAATATAGAGAACATACAAATTGTTTATAAAATCGAAACTATTGAAATTAGAAGTATTGAAATTACGGACATTACTAAATATGTTTAAGGCTAAAAATAATATATTGCCTCTCGAGTTACAAAGATTATTTTCAATGTGTTTAGGAGGTGAGGATAGCAGAAGGAAATATTATTTTAAGCATCAGTTTGCTAGGACTACACAAAGACTAATGAGTCCAACGGTTATGGGTATACGATTGTGGAACTCTCTTCATTATAATCTTAAGAGTTGTACAAATATACATAGCTTTAAAAAGTGCTACATGTTTAAAACAATAAGTCAATATGAAGAACATGAAAGAAATACGAGTTTTCTCTCCTTATTTTTATTATTATTTATTTATTTTTCTCCTTATGTGGTGTGGTATATTGCAGATTGTATTCTTCTTGTGGTTTGAGTTATGATTTGATTGATGAAACCCTTTATTGCTGTTGCTATACACCATGTCACTAGTCACAAGTACCAGCGAAAAAACTGGCCATCAACCTGACCATACATATACAAACATCACATACACAAATAGGGGGTAGACAGGTCAGGAAGACAGGGGACTATAGGAAAACTCAGAGAAACAAGATTATGTGAGGAGAGTGGAGGTGAATAAAAAAAACAGCCCCCAGACTGTACTCCAGTAGGGAGTACAATATAGGAACAGAAAAAAACACCTCAGCAATAAGCACATAGTCACCACATCTCACAACACTAAAGTCGACACTTGAAACAGGGGAGGGGAATGGGGAGGTGGAGGTAGTCCAGCATAGACAAACAGCCGTCCGGTCCTGCAGCCAACGGCGCTGTACATAGACCCGCTCATTCACGCTGGGGGTATGAAGCAGTGAAGGTGTGGGATGGGGGGAGGGTGTCCTTGTGGTTGGGGGAGAGGAATGCAAGAGAGTCTCACTGCCTTGTTCTTCAGGGGGAGATGTTGAGCTCAGCAGCGGCCTTGGCCAAGGCC